ATTAAAAACTGGTGATTCTAACCTATGTCTATTATTACTTCATGAGAAAAACAAACTTTCATTTGCAAACTTTAAAAAGTTTTTGCACAMGCACCTGAAGTGATTTTCTTTTGCTCTATTAAGATTTCTTTGAGATACACAGTCTTGGCCTTTCTCCTGTGATTAATTGTAGAGGTAAAATAGGTTCTTAAAGTAAAATATTTTCCTAATATGAAAAAAGTTGGGCTTCCAGTTCTTAACACTGGGCTGAGCAGGTTCCATAGCTTATCTAGGAGCAATGGASGGGGTGGGAATGGGCTGATTCCAAGGCTGTCCTCTATTCCTGTTCCATGTTTGTTTTTCTACCTGTTTTTCAGTGAAACTTACTGTAGTATTATCCCCATAGCATAAAGAGAGCATGGCAGAAATTAATATGCACATTTGAGCAAAGAAAGGTAATTGGGCAGGAGAGAAAACATCAGGCCTSACCTTCCTTTCTCCTCTCTTTGTTCTTTTTTCTTCTTCCTGGAATAGTTATCCCCCTTAGATGTCTTTGTAACACAGTAAAGACATGGCTGTTTAAGATCACAAAATGCAAACAGAAAGCAAATACAATATTTGTAATTTATAATATACAAATAAATCTAAATAAATAAATAATAAAAATCAAATACAATTCCACCCTCAAGTTTTAGCCAGTTGAATGGGATGACCTGAAGGGAGGAGAATGAAGTGAGGTGGTGCAAAAACACCCACGCATATGCGCACACCTGCAGGCATGAGCCCATGCATTTAGAGAGCTGGAAGCTCTTCTGGACACAGAATTGTCAGGAAATGTATTTGTTTTTTCCTGCTGTTTCCTCTTATCTCTATTATTGCTTTTCAAATGCAAATTACATTGTCACTGAGCTTCATTTGCTCTCTGGCCTCTAATATTTAGCAACTGTGCTCTGCGTGGGGTTGACAAAACAACCCACTCAGTGGAAAATGCCCTGTGAGTGTCAGCTGCAGAGACCAGAGATATCAGATTATGTTTTAGTAGGCTCCATCCTCCCACTGGATTTGAACCACAGGGTGACATCTATCTTTGCCAGGACTCACCTGGACTAGCTAAATCATTATCTTTTGGGGTTGGGGTCTGGGTATCAGCCTTTAATTTGTAACTAACCAACCAACCAAAACTCAGTGTGGTTTCTGATAAGACCTCTATGTTAAGAAGCACGGATTTAAAAAAAAAAAAATTAAAATTAAAAAAAAAAAGAAGCACAGATTTCGAGAAGAGTCTCATTCTTGCATGAAGGCCTTAGAATCTGCCAAAGAGTATTTAGAAAACTTAAAGGAAAGTTTGTCTTTTGATTTTTTTTTTTCCAAATGAACTTCACTTTTAAAGAACGCAGTCATTTCCCTTTATTTCATTTTTGTCTGTCTTTTGGGAGTTTTTTTTTCCCCCCTCCCAAGTTGACTTAACTTCATATTTTACATGCTGCTTCTTTTTACGTGTTTCACAAATGTTCTGGTAAGTTTGGGTTTCATCCTGTACATTGCTGTGTTCTTGGCTTAAAATGTGCATTGAACCAAGCCTGTGGTGGTGGTAGCAGGATGCACTTTTTTTCCAACTCAAATTGATTAGTTGATATTTTTCCTCTCTGGCAAACAGATGGTGAATTGAACATGGCGCTTTGCTTTTTTTCTGAGTAGCTGCCTGAGTGGGGATTATATAATAAATACTACAAAAGAACTGCTCAATCAAGAGATTGTACATTAAGCAAAAACAAAGATGCCACAGCCAGTGTAAGATGTTTTGTCACAGGACAAAGAAGTCGTGTGTCTCTCTCTGCTGGGTTATTTAATGACTGACTCAGAAACAGCTTTTACTTTATCCAAAGAAAATCACCATAATTAAGCTGTCTATCCTGAAATTGGTAGTGTATTATTTTTTTTAATAACAGTCAGTGAAACACAAGTGCTTGAAATCTATTTTTAAAAAAGCCCAAGTGACTTTTTAACAAGCACAGGTGTTGCCATCAGGAATGTGACCCCTGYATCTCTCATGAGGATGCTAGGAATCACTTTCCTTCTCACATTTAGCATTTTATATTTTTATAAAATTTCTCTAAATATTCTACAGTTAGCTTTTTATAGGTGTCTTGGAGGAGTACTGATTTAACTACGGGTTGCCTTTCTTTTTTTTTCATTTTTTTTTTTAAATTAACTTGTTATATGACAGCAGAATGTATTACAATTCATATCACACATATAGAGCACAATTTTTCATATCTCTGGTTGTACACAAAGTAGAGTCACACCATTTGTGTCTTCATACATATAGCKTAAGAATTAATATCAAGAATCAATAAATGGGACGGATTCAAATAAAAAAGCTTCTTCTCAACAAAAGAAACAATCTGTGAGGTGAATAGAGAGTCTACGATTTGAGAGYGAATTTTCACCACACATACATCAGATAGAGCACTAATCTCTGGGATATATAAAGAACTCAAAAATCTTAACCCCCCCCAAAACCCAAATAACCCAATCAATAAATGGGCCAAGGGGCTGAACAGACACTTCTCAGAAGAAGATATACAATCAGTCAGCAAATATATGAAAAAATGTTCAACATCTCTAGCAATTAGAGAAATTCAAATCAAAACTACTCTAAGATTTCATCACACTCCTATCAGAATGGCAGCTATTAATAATACAAACAACAATATGGGTTGCCTTTCGAATGACATGTCTTTCTTCAGAAACTTAGAATGTCTTTGTAGGTTCTGGAAATTTAGGTAGACGAAGACACTGGTCCATCTTCTCAAACTTGACTCTTAAACAGGCAAATGTATGGTGAGGATGAAAGTTATTGTTTAGGAGTGCTTGCTTCAATTCATCTTATGAAGAAATTCATCTTACTGTGAGGCTGGATGAACTTCAGTTCATTTTATAAAACATTTTGGAGTGAAGAAGGAGCCTTGGGATTCTGACCTGTTGCCCATGTTGGGACTTTTCTCCAGGTTCCTTGGTTTCATCRAGTGATGGTTGCTTGATGCTGTTTCTCTAATTTCCTTGCTTATCTTATACTTGCCTATCCAGCAACAAATTGTGATGCTCACTCTTCTCTTGCTCAACTCAGTTGCTAGGGGATTATGCTCATCTCTCTGTGGCTTCACACTACTTAAGCAACACACTCCAATTCTGTGGTTACTATACTCTCCATGGTCCATTTGATTCCCATAGAGTTATTACAGTTAAGATAATCTTAAATATAAATCTCAATGTCTTAGAATGTTCTGGAAATTTAGGTAGACAAAGACGACATTGGTTCATCTTCTCTAACTTGACTTTTAAATAGGCAGACAAATGTATGTTGAGTATTTAGGAGTGCTTGCTTCAGTTCATCTTATGAAGAAGTTCATCTTACTATGAGGTTGGATGAACTTCATTTCACTTTATTGAACAATTTGGGGTGAAGCAGGAATTGCTGATGGAATTGATGATACAAGATAAAATCTTATCAGAAAAAAATAAGAGATGGTCTCTGATCTAATGATGATTTGATTTAATATTTTTWAAAAAATATTTTAAAGTTGTTGATGGACCTTTATTTTATTTATTTGTATGTGGTGCTGAGAATCGAACCCACTGTCTCATGCATGCCAGGCAAGCCTGCTACTACTGAGCCACAACCCCAACCCCAGAGATTTTTTTATTTCTCATAGTGGTTGTACCCATACAACAATTCTGTCTCTCATTTTTAGTATAGTACTCAATAAATTATGTGAATTATTCAACATCTTATTATAAAAGGCTTTGTGATAGRTGATTTTTCCCAACCACAGGTGAATGAATGTAAGTGTTCTGAGCACATTTAATGTAGCCTATGATGAGATATGATGTTTGGTAAGTTAGGTGTATTAAGTGTGTTTTTGATTTATGATATTTTCAGCTTAGGATGGGTTTAATAGGACATCACCTTATCATAGGTTGCATCTCTGTATGCCTTTCTGTCTTTAATTAGTCTATAGTTTACCTTGATTGTGTGTTTTTAACTACATCTCTTTCCAGGGCACAGTCAGGACACCATCAATCCAGTTAGACAGGAAAGAGGGCATCCTCCTTTTTCCTGAGGCCCCAGGAGCATTTATCTGTGCTGGAGACCTTTCCAACATGCATTGAAAGTGACCCTTCTGTGTGCGAGCATTCTTCTACCCTTGTTTTGCCAATTCTCCACCTCTGTTTCTGACCTCTGGCTTTGAACTTGACTTAGATTCTTCTCTGTATCTTTTACTTCTCTTTTAGATTTGTACTCTTCCCACTCCTATCCTGTGGCTTGACCTTGCATCATGTCAATTTATTTCTGACACTCTAGAAACTGTCTTGCTCTATTACATATTTAGGATGATCCTTGTGATCTTGCTGTCTTCCTATTGAAATGTTTGTGGATAATTCTACATTTTTGGGCTAACRCAAATGCCCTTTATTAAAAACGAACTGCCAGACAGACTTAGGGATGATGAAGTGTCTAAGATATGTGATTTGTCTTTTGTTAGTTCTTTTTAGACACACAACAAATTGATTTTATTTTCTGAGAGCTTTTCTTCATAACTTACAGCCATTCTCTGCTAATCATACTTCCAATTTCTCTTGAGAATAATAAAATGAAAGACTGTCTTTGGATTTAATATAACTAAGTTTATAGAAAAGAAAAATTGTTTTCTTTCCTGAGATTTCTTGTTACATTTAAGGATTTATAAATATATTAAAATTCAGAAGTCACTGAAAACTCTAGGTCATTTATTAACCTAAGTAACCATTTTCTCCTTCCTTTGAGTGTATGTTTAGGTGAATTAGTGTGAAAATGTGGAGAAATATCCTGACCATTGTAACCTTGTCTCCATATACTCTGATAGTAACCCAGTGAAAGGTGAAATTTGGATTTGGCTCTAAAGAATGTACAACTGGTCAGACAACTTGACTACCCAACTACTATTCCTTTCTTGTTTGTTTGTTTATTCCAATCTCAGAATTGACTCCCGAGGAGAGAGCCCAGAAGATTGCCAAAGCCATGCGTAAGCAGTCTTCTGAAGTCAAAGAGAAGTGGGAAAGTCTAAATRCTGTCTCTAGCAACTGGCAAAAGCAAGTGGACAAAGCATTGGAGAAACTCAGAGACCTGCAGGGTGCCATGGATGACCTGGATGTGGACATGAAGGAGGCAGAGGCTGTGCGGAATGGCTGGAAGCCAGTCGGTGACTTGCTCATCGACTCACTGCAGGATCACATCGAAAAAACCATGGTCAGCATCGCTGCCTTTGACAAAGAATTTTTAAAGAATGCTTTATTATCAAATATAACACAAATAGAGAGAGCCAGGTATATGAACTGTTATAAGGGAGTTTTAAAGGCAACACCACTGCAACCCCAACCCAGGTTGAGTTGTGACAGATGTTTTCCACGTATTGCTTGCAGTCTGAACCCTTCCCTCAGTAACCTCATAGGTGACTTTTGTGATAATTTACAAAAAAAAAAAAATGCATTTTCACCAACTGTTCGTCCCTAAAATGTGTGGATTAGGTATACCTGCTTTTTTAAAAAAGTATTTTTCAAGTTCCTTTTAATGTTCAGACTAACCCTTTCTTCCTTTTTTTCCTTCACTTCCAGTTTATTTGTTGAAGAAACAAATATTTGCTTTGTAGGGTTGCTCACTGCCTTATTCTGCAAGGTTGTGTCCACGTGGTATGCCCCGTGGCTTCCTCTACTCCATATCTCCTGGAAACTGGTAGTTGGATTTAGAGGTTTAATCAAAAACATGTAGTTTTACTGGAAATTCTCATCTATAAACTTTATCTTATTGTCTGAGYATATTAGTGAAGGATGAGTTTGGCTATAATTCCACTCATTGTTAGGAATGCCCAGGTAAGGTGTTAGACCCACAATCTACTCTTTGGTTCCCACTTCTAGAATATCTCCAGAGAAAACCATAATGAAGTTTAGAAGAGACACAAATAACAGATTTAGAGTGTAGTAGGTTTTGTAGTAATATATTAAACTATATGTTAGGTAGACATGAATCAAATCAAAAGAGAAGGAAAACTTAAGTGTTCCTCTAACAATGTCCAGTACACATGGAATTTTTATTGCAAAAAWTACATGTCTTTTGTGTATAGCTATTGGAAGACATTCTTCCTTTATATGCATATGGCTGAAAGATAGAAGRCCTGAAAAATTGAATGAATACTTAGGCAAATTACGTAAGTAAATACATGTCTTTGTAGACAAAAGGATAACAATAGCTAGCATTTATCAAGGCTTACTATGTGCCAAGAATTGTTCTTAGCCAWTTTACATGTGTGTCTCTTTTAATCTTTATATCAACCCAAGGAGACAGTTTATTTGCCTATCATGCCTATTTTATAGATAACAAGCTGAAGGTAATTGCTCAAACTGAATATACTATGCAGTGGTAGTTCTCATGTGTTTTATTTATTTTTTGCTGTTGTTCTACTCTTTCATTTCAAAGACCTCTCTCATACTAAAGCAGTTTAAACACAAAATTGACAGACTATTTGAATTTAAAGCTCTAAAAGTTACATAGTAAATTTTAAACATAAAAAATAGTTATGATGTTTGCTACTTTTCAATGTAGTTATATTAAGTGTCCATCTAACCTGAATTAAATAGACCTCTTCCAACAATCTTAGTGTCCTAAAACCATTTCCATAAATGGATATAAGTTTAAAAGAACATACTGAAAACACAGCCATTAAGATAGTTCCTCTGGAAATTGCACAATTCTTTTATTGTTATAGATGGTTTAAGAATTAGAAATCCTTAAGTCAGTGGTTTCTAAAAAAGTATATTTGTTGCACATATTTTAGAGCAGGAATTTACCCATTTGAATTTGAAAGTTTCAGTGTATAAGACATAATGATAGTGTTGGAGGAAAAATAAAAATTGTATCTGGAATTATTATAGTCCCCAAAGTTTGGGAGTTGTAAATCTTTTTTGTTTAAAGGAATTAACCCACCTCTATATCCAAATCCTTTTGTTCAAACCTCCATTTACATGGAAAAGCTAGAGAAGAAACAGTTAATATTTTAATTGAAAGAAGTACACTGTGGATTAAAATATTTTGCAATCTTATTGGGAGGAAAGAAAATAAGAACTCATTAAGTGTCATTAAGCCAAATAAAATAAATCCAACATCTGTGATATTTTACAGGTACTTAAAGTGTACCCCAAATACTGTTAAAGCTACAGCTGGAGAAAAATAAGTACTGATTATTGCTAAATATTAAAAAATATGTCAAAGCAACTGGATACCAAAATCTTTGGGGATAATCAAATAATTTCAACTCCCTAAAATTGTCCTCAATCATTCTTGTTTGCAGAATATACACCTTCCACCAGGAGACGGTTGAGATTCACACCTGCCAACAAGCTGCAGTTAGCACCTTTGATACTGGCAGATGTTTCTGTTTTTATAGCAAGGAGGTCCACATAGACTCTTATTCTCTTACAGGAAAAGTGCCGTCAAAACATGATAAATTGGTTCTTTATCCTAGAACACATGGCATTTCTGAAAGCATTTACAACTTGTTTTATTTCAAGCCCTTTAATTTGGAAACTCTTAAAAAGCAAAAGATAAACTTTCTTGATAAAAGAGTCCTCTTGGTCATAAAACAAAACTCAAAAAAACCTTGTTTGTCAAAGTTCTTTTCATGTTCTCACTTCCAGATTGCTGTAGAAAAACATTATTAGAGAGAAAACATTTAAACTCTTTATTGTTCTTTCAGATTTAAAACACCTGTCTTAAAGTTATAATCTATTTTTAAAAGCCCTTTATTACCTCTTGAAATAAAACTAGTTATCGGTTAAAATTATATAAATCTCAGACTACTTTCTAGATATTCATTGGTAATCTTTGATACCTAAAAATGAGGAGATATTGATTTAAAAAGCTGATTCCATTTCTGAAGTCCTCCAAGGTATCCACGGAGAGAATACTGATATACACAGTAAACATCATGACTGAAGGAACCCAGTTTCTCTAGCTTTTCCATGTAAATGGAGGTTTGAGTCCCACAATTTTTTCAAATAGAATCTTAGAGGAACCCTAGGCCCTTCCCTACCGTCACCCACACTTCCCTCTGTCCCATACTTCAGTTTAATTGTAAATCCTTTATGGAACTATAAGGCCTCTCTTACCACACAACTGCTTTTCTGTTAATTTAACTGTAATTTGTGCTTCTAACTCTGTGTGCACATTCTGTCATCCATGAAAGACCAGCATCTGCAAGGATAGACAAAAACTGCCACAAAACTCCTTCTCTTTCTGTACTGCAGTAATTCACGTGTCTTTTTGGGTTTCTTTTATTCCTCCTGCTTTTTATTTGTTGGTGTAGGTAGGGTTTTGGCCATTTCTCTTGGGACTCTGAAGACCCAAAGAACTGGAAAAACCTAAATAATTTCATTTTAAATTGATCAAAATGAAGCAGTTGTGGAAATTGATTAAATTATGTGGGGAAACTCAAGGAGGATGAGTTACTTTAACAAAGTCTGCTGTGCAGAATTTTGATAATCTGAATCTTCATCATTGATGATAAAAATTACTTTCCTCTTGCTCAGCATTTTCCATGAGGGCTTGTCTCCTACTTTCAGGAAGAAACATTGGAGGGTCAGAGTACACTTTTTTACCTGCTTTTTTTTTTAAAGTATTTTTAGTTCAAAATATGTCAAAGTAGCATGTTTTGGGGTGGCATGCTGTAGAAAGGGGGAGTTATGGAAGGTAACAAGAAAAGCTCGAAAGAAGAAAAGAGGGAAGGAGGGAAGAAAGTTTTCTTTTTATAAGTACCAGGAAGAAGCTGAATTAAGACTATAGTGTTAACAAATCTTTATTTTCTTCAGAACACTGTGATTTTTAAATTTTATTTTATTAACTCAACTTCGAGTGGCAAAGGAAAAAAATAAAAAAGCCTTCATAAGTACATACCTGTAAGGGGAGGGGAATGGAGATGTGATAAAACCAGAGGGCTAGTGCTAATAGATGCTTATTATACCAGAATTAAAATGACACAGCTCTTTTCACCATTCTGTACTGGCTTAATCTCACCTCAACATCATTTTTGGAGTCCTATATCAATAGAAATGAATTCTCTCCTCCTGCATTGCAAGTCTTGGGCCGAATGCTGTTCCAGACAAGCTTCTCTTTCTTTGTTGGAGGCAGTAAGTGCTCTGATAAGGGTTGATATTCAAATGTTTAACAATTCTTTCAGTATGGCCTTAGCCAATCAAAATGGCCCACCCTAAACCCCAATTTGTGTGTTTGCTTATAGTCCTGAGTTCAAGAGACCAGAGAGAATGTCCCAAGAACACAGGAAAGGGGTCTTTAGGAAAGGCTGTAGAGGGAGAGGCCTCAGAATTTTCTTGAGGGGTAGAAGACCTAGGATGAGTCTTTAAAAGGATCCACAGGACCTCTTGACTCACTGGGAAAGGGGAATGTAACATAGAAGTAGGTGTGATTATGTGGAAAATGGAGAAAAACCTTCTCATTATTTGTTCTCAAAGACAGTCATTGCTCCAAAATTCTTTTTCTTCCCCTGTTCTCATACATCCCTGACACCTACACCTACTAGCTCTCTCTGCTGTGCTCAGAGAGCCAACTGTCAGTTCTAGGACTCATTTGCCTCTTTTCCTATCTGCTCTGCTCCTCTTGCCCGCCACCAATCACAGACAGTGACTATCCACGACTGTGAAAGGGACAGAGCCTACTTCTGCAGTGTGGACTGGGCATGGGCTTTGATCAGGAAAGTTGTTTTCACTGACCTTCTAACTTAATTATAAGTGAAAACACATTGAAATTAACTTACTGAATCAGATGAAGAAAATATTGTCACCATATTAAAATAGAAAGGAGGAGTATGAAAGAAAATGAAAGATACAATTTAGACCAGAAATTAGTAAAGTAGACAATAAAGGCAAACATCTTCCATTCAGATTTACATTCAATAAGGACTATGAAGCAAATGCATAATCATCTACATGAGGCTGCATTATAATTTTTCCCTTCGCACACATATTGAAAGGCTCTGTGTTATAAAGCGTGACTCTGGCGGGTCATTCGAGTTACTGAAGACCTGAATAAGCCGCTGTTACTTAGTGGGCAACTCCAGTTGACAGATCTGATTGGGCCTTACCATTGTCTGTGATAGAAAGTTGAAAACTCTAGCTTTTGTTATAGCCTTTTCCAATGATGTATTTTTTTTTGTGTGTGTGTGTTTGTTGGGGGGGGGGGGTCTGTTTCTTCCAGGCGTTTAGAGAAGAAATTGCACCAATCAACTTAAAAGTTAAAGCAGTGAACGATTTGTCCAGCCAACTATCTCCACTTGACCTGCATCCATCTCTAAAGATGTCTCGCCAGCTGGATGACCTTAATATGCGATGGAAACTTTTACAGGTATCAGCTTATCCTCTTCATGATACAGCTTGCAACCTGGGTTCTCTTTAAACCCCACCTCACATTCCACCACATCCTGTCATCTCTCTCGATGGTATCTGATAATGAATTGAACAAGTGAGAACATTAAGAATTTGTCTTTCGGTATCTTGAATCCAAGCACCTCATTTATGTATGAATATAGATTTTAATACAATTTTTATGTGCTTTCAATATGGTATTTATAGAGAATTGTATAGGATCAAATAAATCACAGTTATTGGAATCTATAGAAGGCCACAGAAATATTTTCCCTAGAATGGTTCATAAAGAGTTATTTCTCTTACCTTAATTTTGTATTATTTTTCTTTTGAAAAATTAAGAAAGCTTTCGTTCTTTTTCTTTTGACTGGTTGCTATTTAGGTATCATGCATTAGTTTTTCCAGATAGCACATTAAAAAAAAACTTTAGCTCTTAGAGCTGAGCTGTTCTATTGCAGTTGTTTTAATGGCTTTAGACCTTACTTACTCATTTTAGATTTAATTACCACAGACACCTCTTTTGAGTGTCCCCAGGTATCACCATTGGCAAACCACTATACAACTCTACATGCCAATTAAGAATTTATGGCTCAGTCTTGGTGCACTGTGTTACATTTAGTGGCCAGTCCCCAGAAATCATAATAATCACATTTCCCCTCTGAAAATTAGTAGGTTAATATGAGTATAAAATTGGAGAAATAATTCTTACTAATTTTCTGTATAGTCTGGGCCTAAGGTATCTAACAACATGAGCATGTAATTTCAATGCATTTTATTTGAAAGGTATAATATAGTACAGTAGGTTTCTTCTATTAATTCAAATATCAAAATACCCAATGGTTTGCATTTTTTTAATGTAATTGAAGAGGTAAGAAATGAGTGTGCAGTTTTTCACAGACTTTTCTGTGTTCACAAAAAGTGTTAATAATCTGGGATTAGTAAGACAAAAATCAATTAAACTCATATATGCTTACAGAAATGTTTGACCTTTATTCTTTTTTCTTCTGCTCTATTTCTGTAATTCATTATCTTCATGTGCAGAGTCCTGTAGCCCATCATGATTCACTTCTCATTCTGTTTCTTTTATGGGTATATGTTATGTTTTAAAAAGAGCATTCTTTTTAAAGAATGCTCTCTCTTTCCTGTGATCCTGGTCACTGCTAGAGCTTGGATGTTAGTTGTAGGTTGGATAAGAAGAGAAAAAGGTATGCTAGCAGGTTGTGTTGTTAAATTTCAGGAATAGCATCTTTACTCAGAAAGTATGTCTTTTGATTTTTTTTTTATCTTAATAAAGTACATTCTAAAGCATTTTAAATAACTAACCAGGAGAAACCAGAGCTGCCCACTGAGACACACACAAACAAGTTGCCCACTAATAACAGCTGACTTATTCAGGTCTTCAGTATAAACACAAGTTTCATTTAAAGGCAGCTGAAAATAAGGTTGTCAATCTACATGGATCAGCTGACTAGCACTGCATAGACGAAGAACAGGGAAACGGAAATAGAAATGTCAGTAGGCTGTGTGCAATCATTATTGATATGCGTTTCATTTCTCAGTATAACAACTTTGCATTTTTATAATGTGGAGAACTCATGGTAGACTCTGTGCAAGCATAGAGGACATCAGTCTACTGGTTTCCTATTCCCAGGTAGAAATGATCAGATGCAAACTTTTCAGAAAATCAGAAGACATTCCATACTTACCTGTCTTTATGTTTTGTGTTTCTTTTCTTTCATTTCACTCACTCATTCATCTCTCTATTGTCTGCATACATATCTATCCATCTATTTTTTCCTGTTGGAGTACTGTAGGCTTCTTTTTTATGTGCTTTCCATATTACTTTTTACCATTTTTTTAAATAAAAGACAGATGAGTAGTCTCTGATCCCATGACCATACCTTGACTTAAGGTGCCTTAGAAGCTGCATACGGCCTGAGAAGGGGTTATCTTAACAGGGCATGGATTCTGGCACCAGATGACCAGGGTATGAATGCTAGCATTGCCACTTGCTATTTTTAACTTCTTGGATAAGTCTTTGTGTCTCAGTTTCTTCATTTGTAAAGTGGTAACAAAAGAATACTTATCTAATATGTTTTTTTTTTTTTGAGAGAGAATCAAAAGGGTTTATTCATAGAAATTTCTTGAAAGAGTACCTGGCATTAATAACTGTTACTAGATACCAGAAGTTGATGGTCATACTGTTATTTTGATACCAGAGGTAGAGAAGGAATCTATATAGTCAGTAATATTTTGGATGATAGCATCACTTACTGTAGTACTTAAATCAAGAATATTATTAAAGACATTGTCTTAAAATCAAGTTATTTCATCTGGCATGTGTGTGTTTGTGTAGGTTTCTGTGGAGGATCACCTTAAACAGCTTCAGGAGGCCCATAGAGATTTTGGACCATCCTCTCAGCATTTTCTCTCTAGTAAGTACTAATAAATTTGAGCAATTGTTAATTGAGTGAATTAGCATATTCTTCCACTTTCACTGGAGAAGTCATGTTCTTTTGTTAGGTAAGGAGATATTAACACTAATTAAGGTGTTATTTATTGCTTATTATTTGTTACAGTGTGATAATAACTGTTAGATAGTTGAAGGGAAACACAAATGAGTTTGTTTCTAGATATGGTTTTGCACCTGGCCATTTGTTATGATAAGTAATATAGTATTATGTCACCGTTGTTTTGACATGTGCAAAGATTAGGACCTTTTCACACAAAAAAATCCACTTTTATATTTTAAGATATTAATGATTTTTTCCTTCATAAAAGTGCTTATTGGTTTAAACCACACCTGTAACTTTTAAAGTTACAAAAAAATTCTCTATAAATCTTTAAATGAGAATATTTTGGTTTATTAGACTTGCTGCATTCATACTCAGCTATTTTTCTGGGCAAGTATTATGGATTTAGCAAAGCACATATGTAGATTTTTATGAAATAGTCTCCAGCTGGAATTTTCAATTTTATGTACAGTCCATGAGATCTTAAATAAATAATCTGAGCTCGTATTTAATTATTATTCACTGCTGAGGATACTAAAGAGTCTAGAATTTAGAGTTACCCAGATTGAGTTTAAATATTCACTCTGCCTTTTATAAGACCTGTGAATTTCTGAAAGTTAATTTCTTGGTCTTAAAATACCAATATCTCTCCTCTGATTACCTTGAGAATTAAATGAAAAAGCATATCAAGTTACACAAAGAAGCTAGCTCAGTTCTTGGCACAAATGCTTTCAGTAAATATTAACTCCTTTTCTTTCATTTCCTTTGGCAAATATATGTAAGAAAGCAATTTGTTTAATTCCATTTGAGTAAAGTTTAAAACTGAGGGCAAAGTGTGTTTCTCAATCATGACAACTTCTTTATATCAATAACCACAGAGAAAAATGAAGTATAATTCCATGTCTCAACTAAATTGATTACATTTGTATTTCCTCTTAATCCTTTTTACTGCTTTAATTCAGATTAGAGGTAGACCTCTTCTGTCACAATTGTGAGAATCTTCCTCTGTCATTCACACATACTCCTCTTTAGCTTCTCAAAGTTGAGCCGTGAGGTATTCCATCTTTGATCAATATGTAGTCCTTCCTGGTATTCTGGGTCAGGAT